TATATATATATATATATTTGTAATGAGTTGATAAACTTTATAACGCAATTACTGAAAATATAAGTTTTTAGAATGTATTAAAAATGATTATTCACACGTCAACATAATGTTGAGTGATTATTAGTTTAGTAAATTTATAAATATTACCATAAAATTTTCAACATATACGATTGGAATCACCATTGTTTTAATTTAGAAAAAATATTGGTATGCAAAATAATTTCTTATTTATATGCTGGTATATTTCAAACATGTTAAAATTTCCTGTTGTCACATAAACCGAATAAGTATTTATATTAAATTTCAGTATATAATCTGGATATATAATAATCGATGACATATCGAAAGTAATAAAAAATAAAAAAATTGGATGTTTAGATGATTTTAATAATTTTGACATATTTTTTTAATCATTTATTAAAGACAAATTCAATTGACATATTGGTCCTGACAATGTCAAGTGCGTAATTCCAGATTAGAACAGCATAGAAACAAATATGCGCTAGTAGTATTTCAAATAAATAATAATAATAATGAAACTTGTTTATATCTAGCAATTACACACTAAGGTCATTTAAAAATAGTACCTTGTCGCTTATACTCTGCATCGCGCGTTGCATACGTTTCTTATAATATCCGAATGCATTTTCTAATTTATTATATTATATATTAATGATACCAGAGTCCAAATTCGGTTTCGGTTCGTCTAAAAATTTCGGTTCGGTGCCGGGTGAAATTAAAATTTAATATCGAAAAATAAAGCAATTTAAATTGGTTAGTTAAAATTTAAAATCGAGTCCAATATCAACTTTTGATTTAATTTTATTTACCAAATTCCCTTACTATTGTTTTCAATTATTAAGTTGAAAATACAAACAAAAATAAAAATTAATTAGTGACTAGTTCAACATATGCACTTTGTAATATTTCTTCAGTCGTGTCTACAGTAATATCCTTTTTAATCACTTTCATTTGAGTTTGTTCTAATGTTAGATGCGCAAGACTTGTGCTTGCCCTTTCTTCTTTAAATTTTCTCTTTTTAGTCGGTGGTTGATTGGTGGCTGATTGAGGCTTTATTTATATTGATGATTAACTTTGATGGTTTTGTTTATTATGTATTGGTTTATTTGAAAAAATAATTCGGAGTAGTCAAAGAGACTTAATCGATATCTCTTATACATTGTTTTTTTAGAATGACTAAATAAATAAATCAAAGGGCATACAAAAAAGAAGGCGATTATGAATAAATTTAATGAAAAAATAATAATTCAACCGAAATTAACGATATTTAAAATTTCGTTCCGGTTATTCAATTGAGCAATTTTTCGGTCCGGTTACAGTTACGGTTCAGTTAAAAATTTAGGTTAATTTCGGTTCATGGTTCGGTTCCGCTTCGACTCTCTGGATGTTAGAGATATCTCCCAGATAAAATCTAATTTATAGTTTCTTAGTTTACAATTCCTATTTTTTTTTTCAAATTGATTAGCGAGTTAAAAAATACTTCAAGTTACGTAAGCTATCAAATTTAGCGGATAGAAGAATATGGCATTATCAAGAACTTTACAATGTAGGATTACTTAAATCTCGTACAATGCTGAATATTCCACAGGCTTAAGGTAAAAACATTTTATCTGTAATCTTTTGAATTTGGGAAATGAACTTAGTATTTAGAATGCATTTTAGCAAGGACAAGAGGTTGTGTAGAAAAAAAAGTAGTTGGCTAGATTGTATTCAGGTGTCAGCTGTAAACTCACTTTGTCTCAAAGCAATCATAACGAATCTGACATCATCTCGGTGCATGAAACTGAAGGCACACTCTCCGGAAACCTCCTCGATCATATACCCGGCGATGAATGAGATCCGTTGGTCGCAATTAATGATCTTGCCATCGACTAGATGCCGTGTCACGTACTCCTCTTTACTGGCTTCAACTAATTGATCTGATATAGGCTCAGGCCGGTACAATCTCACAAAAAATACCCACATCTATAACATCAAACGATAATGATTAAGAAAGGTTAGTTCACGGAGATTTCTTACTTCGTTACTGACAGACTGGGAGGAAACATCACGCGAATTGCTACTACTACTGTCCTGCGAACTCTGGGTCTGGTTGATGCTGGTCATCCTTTGCATTCCCATCACGTTTACCGATTCGTAAACGGGACTCTCGCTTCGAGGACCTGCCCTTCGTAGACGGATGTTGAAGTATTTCCTCCATTCCCGTTCTGGTATCGAATCCGAAGTTATGTACATTCGAAACCTGTCGTGATCTTCTTGTGCTGTTATATTGAATATCGATTGACCCATCAAATCAGTCTAAACACAAAACATACATTTTCAAATTATTATTAGACAATCAATTAAATAATTTTTCTTAAGTAATCTATTGAAAAAATTAGATATTTTCCAATAAGTGATATTATTATTAATCTCTTTACATTTACTAATTTCATTCAATTATTAACATTTGAATAGTTATATCATAGGTTTAAAATGTTTTCGGCAGATTCTCGCATATAACTAGTTTTTTACGTTTTTTACAAAAGAAAATATAAGAATAAGAAAAAATTTAAAACAAGAATCTCTTCATAATTCAATTAAATAAAAATAAATTAAGCGCAATTAGGTACATTGAGTAACGAAAACCTTCGTACTTTCATACAAATGAACTAAATTACTTAAAAATTAATACTAAACAGATTGATATAATTAATGTAAATTACCTGTGCATGTCCTAAAATATTTTCTACAGTATGTGATACAAACACCACCTTTCCATTTCCAGTAAGAATCAACAGAAATCCACGTAATTGTTCGTAAACTAAATTTTCCAGCACCATTTGGTCGAAGTGTCTCGGCATATCCATTCGTTCCGAGTTGCCATTCAGTAACGCTGAAACAATAAAAACATTTAAAATTAAGATTTACTATTAAACAAAAAGATTTTTTAAAAATATACAAAAAACAGGTTATTAAATTTTGTAATACGCAGAAATTGGACGACGGTCAGTAACACAATTTGTAAACTTTAATTTAACCAAATTTAATTCATATATTTTAAATTGATAGTTCGTTGTACATTTAAGATTAAATGCAGTCAATTTGCATGTAAATATGTTCATCTCGACTATTGTAATCAGATAATTGCAGATGTTTTGCACTTCTGCATCGGGTCGAGCGAGAGTGCGAGTGAGACTAAGGTTAAACTGCAGTAAACAAAACACATTTTATCGTTTTAACGGAGATCCAAACAATGTAATGCAAACATCTATAAGCCATACGCACTAATTGGATTATTGTTATAGAAGAAAACGTATGTTAGCATCGCGAAAGCAAACGCGATATGCGCAAATGGCGTATCGCAATTACTTGCGGCGAAGATGCGTAATAACCGGTCATAATAACAACCATATTTGCATGCGGAACATGAGTTATTCTATCGCATCCTGTTGCCTGCAAGTTCAACTATGACCAGAGGAAAAGAAAATGAAAAATAAAAAAAACCGGCACAATTAAATGCATTTTGCGGTTAATAACAACAACATATAGACGAGGAAAAAAAAGTGGTATATAAATACTTATTAAATCGTTGATATAATCAAAAAAAAAGAGAATAATATGGTGTATTTTGAATTTGAATTACTTTGTTTATATTATATAGAAAACAACAGTAACTTATTGACCTGTTTTATTTTCACTATACACTACAATTTTGATGATTCTTATTCAACAAAGTTAAAGAAAGTCGTATCATATCTTGTTTTAATTTATTTACATTATATCTCGTTATAGTAGATGTAACCTATTTTTGGTCTGTTTAATAATTTTATTAATGTAATTAATTAATTACCATTAATTACATATTAAAGCAATATTGAAGTAAATTTAGCGGAGTCGTTTATTTTATCAGCTATAAAATTGTTTTCGTGTTATTTTCTAATAATATCTAATATAAAACTGCATTTATTACATAATTTAATGACCTTCGATATCGAAATGTTGATGTACGTTAATTAGTATCAAATACACATGTGTAAGTCTCATCCAAAGGCGTTCGTCTTCAATTGACAATACATATTTGTCGTAGTTTCATAGAAAAAAACAACCTTGACCGAGTTTATTATATATTAAATTAATTAGGACTACCTTAAAGTCAAGTTTATGCGATCCTAAGCATGGTGTTTTGAAATGCTGTTGTTCCTTACTTTAGAGATTTTTAATAAATTGCGTTTATTAATTTTATAAACAATATTATTACGAGCGTAGTCGTAAACATTGCACTTGTGTACTCTCTGCTATTGTCATATCTGATAAATGTAGTGGGTACGTACATATTGCTCAACTCCGCCATCGCAGTTTACATTTATTTTGCCATAGGAAAATAATTCTGTCACGTATGGCGTATGTTTACAATTATCATTGGCAGGTACTCGATACATTTGTAAAATATGGAGTGAGAATAAATGTTCTAGGAGTATACAACTATATACGGTGCAGAGCGATATCATATCAATAGGATATTAATGTGTTATAAATTGTATAGGAATTCTGAAAAAAAAATATTCCATAAAGTTTTAAAATAATAATTCAACTAAATATAGTAGTCAAAATAAATATCAACATAGACTATCTAAGCAAAGTCAAACATAAGGATTATAAATTTGTTTATAATGCTCATATCTCTATTTTCCTATTACGAGGCTTTAAACTTCTAGACGAAATTTAGACTATTCTGTTTAGAATTTAAAATGTATATATTTTATTATTTAATTATTTATTTGTTATAATAATAATTATTATTATTATGGTTAACTTTTCATTAATATTGTGCGGTCTTTTCTAATTTATCTATGTTTTAAATATAGATTCATAGATATTAGTCTGTATTTATGTTTGTGTTCAAAACAAGTCTGAATGATTACATTATTTGATGCATTCGTTGAATTTTTGTGAGATAATTCTTATAATTATAGAAGTTTGCTCATTAAATGTAAATAGTATGTAATCTTCAGAAATGTATTTATTTATTTTTCCAAAAAGAAAGATAAACATACATACAAAGTACAACTTATTTATGTTTACAACGGTTAATTTCTATTCTTTTTTACAGTGATACTTCACATAGTGCGATTAATCAATGCCTGTACTATTTGAAATCGAACTAATCAAAGAACTAAATACATACAAAAATAAACCGCATAAATATTTTCAAACAGTTCTGTAGTGAATCTGCACTAATCGAAGCAGTAATATTCAGTTGTTGATCCTTCAACTATCAATATATTTTAATATTTATATTACTTATTATAGTAGAAATTTATTAATATTCATATATTGTTACAAACTACTGCCCAATTATTTAAAGAATTGTTGTGTCCAGAGATAAAAAAAAATCTCTGAACACTGTGGAATATCTCGTTGTTAAGTCGGTGTGGAGTTCTAGTGGATTTTTTAAGGAATTCTAGAGGTGAAGTTGGAGTTTTTAGGATAATAAACACTTTATTATTCACAATAAATTATTAACAACTTCTATATCTAGTTTTCAGTTGCTAGGTTTATTACTAGGGTTTTTATTAGTCTAACTATGTAACTAGGAGTAGAACTAGGGAGTCGGTAGGACTAACCCCTAAAACTAAGACTAACTTTGTATTACATAAACATCATATTTTATAGTAGTGAAGATAGTACTTTTCCAAAGAATGTATTTGAACGATTGTACTTAACTTTCCCAATACATTAAGTGTTTGGGCGGATGTATATATTTGTAGTCATTATCGAATGGCTTTCTGAATTTGTGTACAACTGTAGTCCTTACGTGGTGATTAACAATAGTGATTAAGAATAGTCGTTACACATTGAATAGTTATGGAATCTTCATAAGTGAAATTTGTAATAAGTCATTAAGATGTACATACATTAATATACAATAATAAGGGTTAATATAATATAACCAATAACGGTTATACATAACAGAACACTTATGAACATATTAATATTATTGTTCAGTATAAAGTTGATCTTTATAGTTTCAGAAAAACAAATACAGAAAAAAAAATAGTAGATCTCATAAATGGCTCGTGAAGAGAGATAATTAAATTTAATAATAAATTAGAGAAATCGCTCTAAAGTATAAACGGAGTTCTTAATCAACATATAGAGAATTAATAATAAAGATTGACACTTATTAATTAAAATATGTTTTTGGGTTTAACATTAATTCGACAGTTACATGTTAACTTTTATAAACAAATCTTTTTTTGTTCAAGAAGATGTAAATATTTCATATCTTTATCGATTCCTAAAAACTCAGGAATATTACTAAAATAGTAGCTGTATAAAAAAATCATCATAATGATCATCTATTATATAATTTTGTTAAAAAATAGCAAGAAAAATATACTATTCAAAAGAATTCATACATAAATAAACATAAAGTTTTAAGCAATTATAATAAAATTATAGAAATAATAAATTAAGAAGAATGAAAATAATATAATAAGTAGTTTTTATATCGAAGATGACCTTAGCGAAATATAATTGAGAGATTTTGTAGTTTATATGAGAATGCGGAAAGCCGTTATGGTGGAATTTACAGAGACGTATCCGTCGAGACTCAACAACAAAATGGAACATTAAATTTATTGTTTGATTCTATCTTAAAATCATATAAAACAATAAATAAAATGTTTTTTTAAAATTAAATAGTTCTGAACTCAATTATAATTATATTTAAATTTTATAATATTTAGATTTCAAATAAAGGTTGATTCTACAACTACTCTCAGATAATTAACATTAATTAAGCTTCTATTTTTTATTATTTTGGCACATACTTAAATGTAGATTATATTTAATCTTGTCCTGCAGAGTAGCATAAAAAGAGATAATGTTGTTTTTAACATTATCATGTTATGAGATGAACGCGATTCTAGTACAAAAACACGATTGGATGTAAATAAAGACATTGCTTAAAAATAAAATTATTTGAATAACATATTACATACATGTAATATGTGATTGTTTCTAAATTGATAGAAATATTGATTAGTTGATAAATGAAAAGTTAAATTGAATTTGTTTTGAATGAACTGCATAGTTAGGGGTTAGTGAATGGCGGATTATAAGTTTCGTTCTGCACGAAAAGTATAATGCAAAATTGTGGAATAAAAATACGTGTTTTTATGTAAACAAATAGAAGAAAAAACGGCAGGATTAAGATCGATGATAAGATTTTCTAGCTATTACAATTTCGTGTGTCGAAAATTTTTCATTGCAGCCCTCAAATATATCAAAGCGTCTATTAGAGATTACAAATCGCACATAAATCTAAAAAAAAAATCCTAAAAATCCACAGAGCACACAAACATTGTAGTGGCAAAATAAAAACAAAAAAAAATGATATGATTTATACTGCAAGATTCGTTTAGAGATTATGAATAAAGCTATAAAATATAAGTTAATATCATTATTAATATTTATTAGCAAAAACTATACATTCTGATTTAATTGTTACTGTGGTTTTACTTGCTCGTTTAAATAGCTATTTACGACAATTCGTGCCACGAAATAACGTCCATAAATTTGATTTAGAATGGTTTTATTAATAAGCAGGAAATATAATAAACTGCGCTTGTTAAATATTCTTCTTTGAAATAGTAAACCGTTACTATACATACACGATTATTCTATTGTTTTTGTCTGTCTTTGATTTGTTATTGTAAAATGATGTGGTTTACGAATATCTACAATAACAAAATAAAATGTATAGTGTAAGAAATAAAAGTGTACTATTAGCTTCGATATAAATATTGTTTGTCTTGGAAGAAAAGTGGAGAATTCCAGGACACGACTTAATTGCACGCTACACGACATGACTTCCAGTGAAATTGCATCACAATACTCCTACAGCATTTGAGAGAAAAAAAAACGCAGAAAATAACAGAGACAGGTTATTACACAGAGCTGAAATTAAATTGTGTTATGTATAAAATTGCAGTTTGCAATAATCAATTCTCGAGATTAGAATATCAAAACATTTTTTTTTATTAATTATATATGAAACAGTCTTTGCATTGAAGAAACACGATCATAATTCAACAATAATATTAAATTTTCGTTGTTTGTGGTGTATCAATAGCAGCGAATATAACAAAATATCGTTAAAACTTCAACTTGTATCTTTACATTATTCAATAGCAATAGTCTCCAAACCAGTGAAATAAATCTTATACGATTTCAATGATTTCGAAACACCAATCGAATTAATTTTTAAATGCAATATAGTGGAACCTCGCTTAAGGAGCACCTCGCATAACGAGCATTTCGCTTAACGAGCAGATCGCATAAATAGCATTTAGCTTAACGATCAAAATTAATTGTAAGAAAAATAACTCGAAACGACGCTTAACGACCGACGTTTCGAGTCAAAATCCGGAAATTTTGGAACGGATTAAACTCGTTAAGCGAGGTTCGACTGTATCTTTATTTTATAATGTTAAATAATTTTACTTCAACATATTTAGAATATTTTTTTATGGTTGAATAATAATCAAGAAATTATATTTCACTTACTCTGATATATCCTAAGGTGGGTTGCCGTTAATCTAAGTATGCTAGTTTTGTCCATCCTCTTCGGACTCTTGGATATCAACGGAACGAGGCACGCCAACTCCGATATATAAGAATTCAGTTTATCTCTTCTCATCTTCTCAGCCTTATTTCTCATCTCCCGACTATTACTGGAAAATACAAAAAGAAACACAAAGTTCAGAAAATTTTAGAATATAAGTTTATTATTAAGAAAAATAAATTAGAATTTATGTGCTTACCCAAATTGCAATAAAGCAATAATTTAAATGAAAATGAATGCAATAATTTTTGTACTAATCGGAATACTGCTATAATTACTTTTACACGGACAAGTATTTACTGCAAAACTGCGATACGCTTTTATAAAATACCGGTAAACTTCTTCACCTTGACTATGGGAGTTAATTTTGAACCAGGCCACATGTACATGTCGAAGAGTAAAAAAGAGCTATGAATTAATATGAATATATTTCGTGGTATGGTCCAACTTGTAACGTTAATTTCGACCGGTCGACTGATTCGGTTACAAATTAATTTCCAATTATATATATATATATAGATATGCACGAATTCCCCGAGGTTATAGACTAGGATTGTTCGACGAGGCAATAAAATTGCATCAAATCTCAGTTTTGCATTTGTAAGTCTGAATACATAACAGATGTTTCTTTAAATAATACAAGCAAAATTAACGTGAAATACAAATTGTGACCGCTCATATAGGATTATATGCAATTTTCAAGGAACTGTTGCATTTGTGCATTACGTAACCAGATAGATTTCGTGTGCGACAGAATAAACAGATGTAAAAATTAACATTATAAAATTAGTCACTTAATTATTTTTATTTAATTCAAAAATACATTTTTATTACATTCCTACAATTCCATTCTCAATATGTAAGACAAAGCATAAATACGCATTAAATTACGCAATAAATCAGAATATCAGGTTTAGCATAAACGTTAATCGAGTATAGACATTAGTAAAGTGATATCGTATCAAAATCTATCATATATTATTAATGCGAGATATTAGCGAAACATATATGATGGAATATTATTGATTGGAAATGTATGAAAGTTCTCCAGGCAATTGCATCATCCAAAACAAAAGTAGTTTCGAATCACTTTCAAACATTGATTTAACTATAAAATGTTATGAATGCTTTTATTGTACCTCCTTGTCAAATTTAAAAGGTTTTTATTTTTTTAAATTTGTTATTATAGAAATAAATAATACATTTTTTTAATTGCGCCGTTCATCAAGGTTGACAGACATAGTTTAATATACATTCGTATTAAAGTGCACTGTTTTCAATATTTGATTTCGATTTATCTAAAACAGTCTATTTTTGAACTTTCGAGCAAGAGTCATAACCTTGTGTACAACAGAAATGTATAAATAATCTGTACACATGAATCGAACCCAAATGAGAATGAGTGGATGATGATGATGATCAAGTTAATAATATTTGTTGTGAAATATACGAATTAAATTAGGAATTCTAATGCAGCGATTGTTGAACAAATTATATCATATATATAACAACAAGCCACATTTGTACGCATTGCGTATAACAGTAAACAAGGCTACTTGAATTATGTCAATTAAGGCCTATAGAGTGTCAGTATTATGTACATAATATGAATAGGGAACTAAACTATATAATAATTTCTTGGGCATCTACTAATTTGGCCAACTCAGCAGTCCCAACGATACTCATATACCATCCACACCAATTATGTAAAAATTGATTGTAATTATCATTAACTCCATAGCGAATATCATTATGCCTAGCGTTGTACGTATTTACAAATTCAACCAATTCCTAACATAATTTAAGGATTTGAATGGAAGGATTAATTATAATTGCAGTAAGTACATGACAACTATCAATGACAACCAATTACTGTATAACTGGATAAGATGCATTTTTTTAAAAGAAATAAAGAGCATTAGACGCTAATTTTCTTTACCTGTAAGGTGCGTCTTATAGTCCGAATATATACGATATTTGTTTCTCCCGAACGTTTATGTAGCTATGTCAGAATAAAACAACATTTAATTTCTTTAACCAGATTTGATTAAGATTTATTAATGAATTAAGTTGTAAAATAAGTAGTTTCTTGTTATTTAGAATTTCACGGAACAGAAACAACGTAAATTTAACGTCCACAGTACACCTGTGTCATTTTCCGCATTTATCACCGCACACCCGGATATTTCGCAAAATAAGAAGTATCTTCCAACTATTTTGTAAACAAAGTGCTTCAAACCTATACGTTACAACATTTTCAGACATAACATACGTGCAATCTATTGATACTTATCGTGAATTTATATACATTCCTTTTTTTACTGATTTTTTTTTTAAGATATCTTATCATCATCTTTTAAATGTTGGGGTTAGGAGTATCAGATTCGCTTTCTAAAATCTTGATGGAAATCTGTGATTATCTTAAATATGTTTGCAGGAGATGAATGACTTACTTTGCGCAAAAGTATACAGAAGAGAGAGGACTGTTACCTGAAACGGTAAATACGAATAGCATGCTTAGAGTATCTCGTTTCATCGTACAGTAAACAGAGTACATAAGCTAAATTTAATCTTCTGAAAACAAAAATCATAATCATATAAAATTTGAATATATTTTAATTAATATTTATTAATGTCCATGAATATATAACAGAATATTTAAAATAATTTATTTTTAAACAAACCAAAATAAATTCACAAGGTTCAAATGTAAACAACCATAGGAGAATAATATATTTTGGCCACATGCTTCGTTCTCTAGTAAGTATACGATAAAATAGTAAACACATAGTTACACCAATATGAATATACAGCAATTCTTCTATCAGTCCGGATTCACCATAATTCGATTTGAAAAATTAAAAACAAACTAAATTGTAATTAAGCCAAATAAATAAATTCTGAAATGTTAGTTTATACAGTGAAGTCTCTTTTTGTGTGGTTATGTGATATTGGTGGAACCGATTACGCCAGGTATTCCAGTAATGATTTAAATTTCTGAAATACTCTGATCTAATTAAAATATTTTACTACTGTATAGACTCCAGAAAAATACTTTTTTGGCTGCCAATATAATTTTAATTAATCTTAAATTAAAATTATTTAGATAAAGTTGCTAATCATATAAAGATATTTAAAAAATGTAGAACAAAAATAGTAAATATCTAATGTTATTGTTTTATTAACAGACATCTGTTGCGCTTGACAAAGAAAGTAATTTTCGTTATACTTTCATGAATAATATGTAATATCCTGAATATTAAAAACAATTTTTAATTTAGCAAATGTGTATAAAAATGATAAACAAGGTGATGAAGTATTAAGCTTGAAGACTATATAATGTATGTCATAAACGTATTAAATAATAGTTAAATTGAAAAAAATATTATTACATAATATTGCAGCTTTTTCATCCTCGATACTGAAGTAATATGAAAAGATCCGTAGGAAACGACAAAGACGTTAAAATTTTAATATTCCACGAAGAAAAAAAAATGGAAGCTGATAAAGTGTCCAAGCTAAAAATGAAATGAGTCAAGGATTCCCTATGCTTTCAACAAACAAAGTAAACTAATTACACAACTATAAAATATCAGAACGACAAAAAGTAGAGATAGCATGTATCCATGTTAGTTATCTTGAAAAGTAGTTCTGATGTAATAAACGAATAAAGTAACAAACAAGCTTTATCTGCGTACATAAATTATTCACTCATGAATTTCATTTAGTTAATGTACGTACAACTATTGTATGGTGCAATAATTATCGATTGATAAAGTGAAAAAATCAGGCTAACTGCGATGACCCCCGCACTCCAATTCGAGAGCCTTACATAACGAATCATAATTTATCCTATTAGATGTGTTGTAATTAATGATGTGGTCGAATTGGATAGTTGTAGTAAACAAAGCTATACATATCCTGTTGGACGTCTGTTTACAAATAATAATAATAAAGGCAGCGCGGAATGTGGCCTTGCATTAAAATACTTGACAAAGTACATCCATCCATCCATCTATCCATCTCGGCTCTTGCGAATGGTTAAAAGAAACTTGTATGCGCTGCTGTCTGTTCGGCGTTTCACAACTTGCATTAGATGATTCTATTAATACCAATTTAATATAGGTCAAAACATCATAAACAGAACGAACTCTGCGTTTGCTGCTGCGTGTTTTGTCCGTTCTGAAAAAAAGAAGCATCTTCGAATAGACTACAGCAACTTAAATCAATAATACTTTGGCTTATGTAAAAACGTGTTTTGGAGAAAATATTATAGTATTCATAATCCGATAATTTTATACTATTTTTTTTATATGTTACAAGGTTTATTTCCCAACTAGTTAAGAAGCATCAAACTATTCAAAACTGTTTATATTTATTTAGTCTTTCTGTCTCTTCCTAGACTTTTAGTCTTCTAACATAAACCTGTTTCATTTTGCAGTCTAATATGGATGGTACGGTAAACATTCGATATAGCGACTTTTGATAAAACAAAAACTTTTGATATAAGCAACCCTTGATATAGTAAACAATTTTAATTTTCTGTCAAAGTTTGAATGAAATTGAACAAAATGTTTTAATTATAAAAAGTCATGTTACCGTTCAAATATTTGACTTTAATTATCTAAAATTATTATTTTTTAAATTTTGATTACTCATCTTGATAAATAAATAAAAAACGTTGCATTTATAAAATGTTGATTATCATTTTATAAATGCAACTTTTTTTATTTTGCTTTCAGCCAAGGTGACTATATCGAATGTTCAATCTATTAAGAAAAAAAAAATGTATTTCTATTTAATGAATTTTATGATTTGAAACTATTATATAATAGATCATAAATGCACCTCAAACCTATATAGATTTCTCTATACTTAAAAGGTGCATCTTATGCATGAACATCAGTAAAAGTGCATACGGAATAATAAAAACAAACGAGTCCAATGAACTTGAACTTTCAGTCATGAATAATTCGGAAATTCTGAATGATTTTCGAATTAATGTAAGCACCGGTGTTAAGTTAGTAACTGATCTAAAATAATTGAACGAAATAAAAAGGAGGACGCTATGTAATCGAGAAAGCAAAACTAATTAAACGTGCGATTAAT